TGGCTGCTGGCCAGGGTCAAACCACTACAAGTGGAGTCAAACTTAATTTGGTGTGTATGCTTCTAATTATTCACAAATTTCTTTACATATTTCTTGATTCCTTAAATACAGAAATTAAACCCTTTCATTGATGGGACTTAGCGTTTGACTCTACTTGGATGCAAGAAAACTTGCATGTCAGACTTCACTACAGTAGCATTTCATGATATTTTTAATTTGTAGTTAATGAGCAGTGTTACTTGAAGGTGATGGTGGTGATGGACTTATTGGTTTTTCAGTAAAGTTGTTGCAAATAAGTATCACCATAATGATCTGAGTTGATTTTGATACATCTCATAGGTTCAGAATCCCCCAAAGGATTGCAGATGTTGTCAGAGTGTAGTATATGGAGAAGAATATGCATAGAAGTAATTTTTATTTAAAACTTTACTTTAAGAGAATCATAATAAAACTGGAATTCACTTTCTGTATAGAAATTGAAAACTATTGGGTATTTCAAGAAAGGCTAAAATCAGAATCAGTATCTCTGTAGAATAATACTTGTCAGTTTTCTGATTACTTTAACGTCAGGCTTGAATCTGAAAGTCTGTGATGCAAACTGGGAGATTATAATTTAGTAGCAATGCAAGTTAAATTTGCAACTCCTCTCCCTGCGTTTGAAACTTAACAGCTCTTTATTCTGCCCTCCTCATAGATAACTTCTTATTTGAAGAAGGTAAATACTGCCACACAGAAATGTTTATGAAACTTTAAGAGGATGATTCATTATAATTTAATGCATTGATTAAACTTTGCCTCCAGAAACATGCTCTTACTGTAAATCCTTTGAAATATTTTACTTCAATACTTTCTGTTTATAAATCTTCCTGCAGAAAAACTTCAGATTTACAAGAAGTAACTGCAATTTAAAATGTTAAGATAATTAAAGCATTGCAAAATATTGTCCTGAAAGAAAGAAGGCAAGCCATAAGGCTTTGCACTCTCAAAAATAAGTATTTAGAATAGGAGAAGCATTTAGTGTGGAAAACTTGCTCAAAGTGGTTGTTAGGGTTAAACAGTATCAGTTAAATTGCAAGTATCCGTTAAATTGCAAGATCTGCCCACTTTCTGAGGTTTCAGGGAATAGGTGTGTGTCTATGTACAATGATACGATGGTTTAATATAGTGATACCAGCAGTTTAATTTCTCCAGGTTAGTTTTGATTATATACACGTTTCTTTCTCAATGCAGACATAGTTTTAAGTGAGTTAAGCAGCCAGAGGTGAATTACATTAGGAAGAATGATTTCGTATTAGGCTTTTTTTTTTTAATAGGCCTTCTCTGGTTCACTTCTTAATTCATATCTGCCTGGCTTCTCACTGACCTTCAGTACATTCTGATTCTGTCCCTTATTCATCTTAAATGTATTAATAGGAGAATTCTGGTTTTCGTTTTTTTATACAAAAAATCAGATGCCATTTCGTAGTGTGTTGTGTGAATTTGGATTCTCACTGTGTTTGTATTGACAGTTGGGGTTTTTTTTAATTGGATGTTTTTCTTCTAATTACAACATTGTTCTTAATTATGTCTTTTTATAGCCACTGTGGCAGCCATGTATTATAGTTACTATATGCTACCTGATGGAACCTATTGCCTCGCGCCTCCACCTCCAGGAATAGATGTTGCGACCTACTACAACACGTTGCCTGCAGGGGTGACGGTATCAAGCACTACAGGTGTAGCCACGGTGCCTCCACCGCCCGGTACTACACCTCCCCCTCCTCCGGACACAACGGAGAGCAGCAGTGGGTTGACTTCTACCACAACATCTACAAGGTACACCAGGCGGATTTGCTTGCTGGTTGGAAGAATCTCTATCTTGCACTTGAAAATGAAGTATTTAGTAAAGATTGTGTTACTGGTGATTCCTCAGTGACTTGCCACTATTTCTTCCACCTTGGTCTTTGACGTTGTAAGTGGGTTTTGTTACTCGGCCACTAGGAAGATTTTTGCATGACAGAAAATCAAGCTATTTTAGCTCCATAATGAAACCAGACAGCAAACCTCTTTGCAATGTGGATTTTTTGTTAAAGCAAGAGTCTGCGAGATATTTATGTTCTATTTATAAAACCAATGTACTTTTGATGTTTTCAGCACAATTGCTCCGGTGGTTGCCATTATACCTCCACCCCCAGATATCCAACCTGTTATTGATAAGCTGGCTGAGTATGTTGCTAGGAATGGGATAAAATTTGAAACCAGTGTTCGTGCCAAGAACGATCTCAGGTAAGAGGAGATGTTATTTTAACTTCTATCTTAAAGGTTCTTATTTTTAAATATATTACCAGGACGTGTGGGTCTAGAGAAGTACTATGATTTCCTTCTGTGAAATTGAGATTCAGGGATCTACTTAAAGGATTGACAAAGCATTATTGCCCAAATCCTGATAAAAAGCAACCTAACAAAAACGTCTCTAGAAGACATATTCTGAATGTGTATCGTCTGCAAATTTAGGCTTCAGTTACAGTGCTTCCAAACATCAAATAACTGTTCCACTCATTAGAGGAAATCAGATGGGAAAGGATTATTGGTATTTACTGTGTTCATATGCATTTTCACATATTCAATTTTTCTTTTAACAGGTTTGAGTTCCTGCAGCCATGGCACCAGTATAATGCTTACTATGAATTTAAAAAACAGTTCTTCCTTCAAAAAGAGAGCAGTGACAACTGTCAGGTACATATATGTTTGTATATACATATCTTAAAAATGCAATGTAAGTGAGAAAAGGACCTACTTATCTGTTGTATTACGATGAGATTTTTGCATATGGAGCACTGAATGGAGAAATTGTTCAGCAAAGGATGCAAACTCTTTTTTTGTAGCTTTTTTAGTTTTGTATAGCATTTAAATAAGGGTATGTGAGATGGTGTGGTATTTAGTTCTTGCTTTTTAGTATAAGGAGCCACGCGGTGTGGCTGTAATATAAAATGGCAACCTGAAAAACCTTTCGGCTTTCTGTCCAAGGGAATATATAGTTTGTGGATGTTTAGAGCTTTGTAGGATTGGGATTGGTGTTATGTTGTCAGAAAGGTTAGATATAGCTTCTTAAGAAGCCTGTCTCCTTGTGTGCTTCCTGGTTCTTCACAGCACAGTAGTACAGAGGCTGGACTGCTTTTCTGGCATGTTTTTTCTGAGGGAGGTTATGTTAAAGCAGAGTCCTGTCATGACTGACTGAAACAATATCGGAGCTTCAGAATCTCACATCAGTTTCCTACTCGCTTTGCTTCTAGTCCTTGTCGTTAGATGATACCCGGGCTTGGCATCCTTGTTTTGAACTGTTCTCCTGTTAGCTAATCTCATTAGATTGTTTTCTTACTGAAAAGAAAATTGCAAATAGTGTCAGCAATACATTATCTGATGTTAACTTTTCATGGGAAAGAGCTATTTTTTTTTTAGGCCCTATGTCATTTGTCATCTCAAGGCTTAGATTGGGGAGCCTTAAACTGAAGAAGGTAGGCCTGTGGGTAAACTCCTCAAAATCATTTTGTGGAAAATGAAGAAATTCAGTATTGGTTGCTGTTTGAAACACTTGTGTCTAATGTTTTGTTTTAATAGTGAAAAATGTTTCGAAAACAGTGTTTTTAAAGATAAGCTGTGGTAAATACTATCTTTTTCAGTTGATAAATTACATGCAAAATTGTACTGTATCACAATGATCACTGTTACTCTAGAATTCCTTAACTGCAAATTAGTGAGTTGAATTCATAATACTTAGATAATTAATAAGGACTTGTTAACATCTATTGGGGCGGGGGGAAATTGTTCACTAACCAAAGTGTAATAATAAAGGATTTATTTTAAGTGTTCAAATGAGTACAGCTAAGAAGCAAGCAGAAACTGGTTTAAGTCCCTTGAGGTCATGTGTAGCAATGCATATTTTTCTACTGCATGGTTTTGTAGATATTACCATTCTCTTTAATTTTTTAGAATAATGATTTCAATATTATCTTTATGTTTTAGTAATGTACATATAGGCAACTAACACAATTGATTGTTCTCCTTTTGGCCATTAAAGTTAATAAGAAATTGTACTACTGGCCTCAGTAAATACAGGATGAAGTCCTTGGTTTTCCTGTGTTTTTCCCCTTTGAGGATTTTCGGAAATTAGTTCTGTTGGTCAGGGAATGGCTGCAGGGAGCAATGGAAATACCTCTTCAATACCTGGTATTTCAACACTAAGTATACTTAACAGCAGCAGTGGAGAGCAACCATGCTATTTACTGAGAGAGGCTCATTTAAGTGTTAATTACTTAATGCCATTGCCTGACTCACCACGTAAACATTTTTAATGTTCTACAGTATCCTGCTTAAGTTTTTTATACTGTGAGTTTAGAGATAGTTTTGGATGATGCAGTCATGTAATAGTAGAGCCGGTAATTCTGCACTCTTCTGAAAATCTCGGCACATCAATATCAATTTATTGCCACAGAAAACATTGGTAGACCCAGTGTTCTTCAACAAAATGTTGGAACAAGTCAAACATGTTAACCTGTGTTGATCCCTGTAAAACTTGATTTTGTAAAGAAGGGGTCATACAATTGCACATTGGGAAAAAATGTCATAAAAATGTCATTCTGTCCCTTATGAATCAATTTTAATGGATTTTGTCCTGGACTCTGGAGGTCAAGACCTAAAAGAATATATTTTGGAAAAAATGTGTATGCTTTTAGGGTCTAATTTTAAAAACATAGTTTTTAAAACAGCTATTGGCAAAAGTGTACCAGATGAAGAATATTTTATTTTACAGTAAAATAAAAACACATCTTACTGTAGGTCAGTAGGTTTTGCAGCCTATGAGTTTATGTGACGTAGTCCATTATTTTTAAGAAGCAGATTTTTGGTCATGAATGCTTATTGATGTAAAATCAGCTGGTATGGGATTAGCTGACAGTGTGATTTTTGAAGTGGCTGGCAAAATTGCAGCTCCACGTCACCGTATTAATTCTTTCATGAACTACTCGCTTAGTAAGCTTGCACATTTCTTTTCAAAAGGGAGTATCTTCATCTGAAGATGTTCCAGCAGATACTGCCGTTGACACACCAAATGAGACTCAATTTCCAGATGAACAGGTACCTGAAGATGCATCTGAGCCAAGTGCTAAGGGAATTCCAGGAGCTAAAAAGGATATTCCCCCTTCTAAAGCTGTCAGTGATGGTAAACTGGTGAAAGGTATGTTAGCATTTGCTGGATGTGAAAATATTTGTTAACGTATACTTAAAAAATGAAAAATGCGGTGGGAGAGGCGAGCGGGGAAAAGTAGGTTAAAGAATTTCATCACGAGGAAAATATTTTCACTGGAAGCATCAAAAAAGGACTGAAATAAGTAATTTGCTTTCTGTCAGACCATAAATACCTGATAGTCTGAAGCAGTATAAATTGTTCTGTTTCAGTTTTGTGCAAAGTTGAAGGCTTTCATCAGTGACCCCAGTAGAATTTTATTTTGTTTATTTTAAACTTGACAGTTCCAAGCTTTGTGCAAGAAAGAAGTTACGCCTTCTGAATTCATCTTATTTAAAACCGTACATACAGAGGAAGTACACTAGACTTAGCATTCAGTTGCTTCGTCTTCTTGTGTTGGCCATTAGTCATGTTGGAAGAAAAAAACCCTTTTCCTGTCTAAGTGGAATGTTTTTCCTCTTGCAGTCATAGCAGCAGAGGGACAAGATGGGCAGATCTCTTGGAAGCCAGTCAAACCAAGTCAGCAAACATGCTGTTGGTCTCCTCAGCTGGAGAAGCTGTTACTTATATCCAGGAACTGATTTCCTGGCCTATCAGGAAGAGAGATCTTAAAATATCTTCTTTCCTGTAAAAACCAGGAAAAATTAAATATTTTAATTAGAACTGAAAGCCACTGAAAAAAAAAAATTAAATAGGAAGAGCGCTCCACATGTGTGTTCCCATGGATGGTCACTGCCTTCCTGCCCACTTCAGAGGCTTTCTTAATTGCTGATGTTTATTTACTCCCTGTGGTCCCTTGCAATTCTCTCTTCAGCTCCTGACTGCAGTTTCTTTCCCTTCATGGACTGCAAACTCCAAGTTTTTTGCCATGGACGTGTCGCTGTCCATACTCTGCAGTTTCTTCTCTGTGCAGGTTGAGCAGCTTCCCGAGAGAAGGAGCAATCTTGTCCATTCTCAAAGGTGCCCTGTTAAGAGAATGTCGTGCACCGCAGATGATGATACTGTTTCTAGTTGTTCTCTTACTAATAGAGAGCAAACTGGAGCCCATGCTTTAATAATAATAATCTGCTCCAATTTAGATGATGGAATGTAACCAGTGAGTCATTCATGACAATCCTATTCTTTATAAACATGTTTTCATTTCCTCTACTATGGTACAAATCCCACTTTCTTGTAACCTAAATACAGTACTTGGCTGCAACACAGGCCTAACTTCCACATTAGATTTTTCTTCTGCCTTCTGGAAGTAAAATCCCATTTTAGGATTTGTTTCATCATGTGAAAAAGTTGGAATATCACTATTATAGTGTCTCCTCTCTGTGAATTCTCAAGTTCTCTATTTCCTTACACCAGATTTACAGGATGCAAAGTTTAGATTTTATAAACCTTAGTATGTAATTTAATTACGGTATTCAGATTTCCCTAATTGAAATCTTACAGGATATATATGCAAAAGGCATCCTGAGAAAGATAAATATTGCAGAAAACCATATGGTAGTAGGTTGCTTAACTTGAGATGCCTGAGAAATTCCATTCTTTGAGTTTAGAAGTTGCATTTTGGAATAACAGTTTAGAGATTTAATTCAATTTTTTTTTCTGGAAATGATTCTCAAAAAACAGTCCAAGGGAAATTCTGCAAGGCAAAAGGAATAGTTCGGACTTAACTATAGTTATATATTAGCTATGCTTAATATTATTTGAAAATCCATTAATACAAACTAGCTTGAAATGACCTGTGATTTCCTTTTCATTGTGGTATTCCGTGTTTTTACAGGCATTCTTTTTCCTTCGAGTGTGCTGACATGAGTATGTTGTGCTGTCCTTTTGTGTTGGAGTAGTAGGTGCTGCTTGGAAAGAATAGTTGCCCCGAATCTCGCTACAGCAAGACTAGCGAAGATGTTTGGGGAAAAGTACTTATCTTTTGCGTTTATATCTCCTGTAATGAAATGCTGTGAACTCCCCAAAGTAATGAATTTTCATATAAATGGAAATAAGTCTTTAAATACTGTGAGTCTGCCAAATGCTATTGTTGTGCAAACCATCAGCTTAGTGTGAAGGGACCGTATCATTCTGTAGTGTGTCACATAGGAGCCTGAGCACAGAGCATTTTCATGTTCAGCCTGCAAGAGTAGATTGTTCATCTGGGAAAAGAAGTACTAAAACTAAAATTTATTTGGGACAGAATATGAAATTGTTTATCTCAGAAAATGTGATTCCTGAGCTGGTTTACAGTGCTAGTTTTTTACTCTGCTGCTACCGAAGTACTAGTTAAAGACTTTGAGGTAGATCTTCACAGGGAAAATGAAGTTTCCAACATTTGTTTAAAAAGAAAAAAGATTGTGTTCTCCCTTTCACCAAAACAGTTAACTTGAATCATTCTTACATTATGCTTCTTTTTTTTTTTTCCTTTGTGGCATAGTCTGCACGAGTAGTGGGTAAAATCAAGAAATTCAATCTGCTTTCAGCTGTCGTCTAATGATGTGTAAAATCTCATCCGTTCATTCACAGCATCATTTGCTCCAATAAGCTTTGCAATCAAGGCCAAAGAAAATGACCTTCTTCCTTTGGAGAAAAACCGTGTTAAGTTGGATGACGACAGTGATGAGGAGGAGGAAGAGGGCAAGGAAGGCCAAGAGAATGCAAATAGTGCTTCAAACCATACTCCAGCTGTTACCACTCCTTGTACTGCTGCTGAAGAGAAAAAACCTCAACTTACGCAGGAGGAGTTGGAAGCTAAACAAGGTATCTCGTGTTACACTGAAAACAAAATGAAAGATTGAGTCCTTTGGGCAAACTACAGAACTATCCTGTGACTAAGTATGACATTGGAGGTATTTTGAATCTTCACTATGTCATGCTAACAGGAGTCAGAATTCCCTTATTTTCCCACAGTTTCCTGCTTATTGTTAAGAATGAAATCTTGGTTGGTTGCTCAGTTAAAAACAGACTTGCAACACGCTGGAGTTGGCTACTTTGCCTGAATGCGTACTCCTTCTGAATTTTACTCTGTTTTTCCATTGCTGCCTTCGAGTAAAACACTGAACTTCTAGTTTCCAGACTGCACTAACAGAGCCTAGAAAGAGGCATGTCTGTTTGTCATTTTCTCCAGAGAAAAATGAAGTGCTTCAAGCTATTTTTCAATTCTGTAGCACTCCCATATAGACTTGTATCACATTGTTGGTGTTTTGTTATTCTTACAATGCAATGCCATTAAGTCTTTGTGTGGGTTTTTCCTGTTACTCCGTTTCTGTGGGTAAGGGCAGAAGGGAATGCTGTGTGAATTTGAATGAATTAGATCTTTTAAAGGGATCACATTTCCCCTATTCCTCCCCAAGGCTGTTTCACAGCAGGGAGGGTTTAATAAAGTGGAGATGCTGTCAGTGTTGATGAGCTTAAACTTACTACTTCTCTTATACCTATGAGAATGCCACAGGAATTTAACTTTTCATTTTCAGAATGATTTTTTTTTTTGCAGTTCCTTTGTAAGCTTCAATAGTACAAAATATGCTATAGTAATTCGTGTCTAAAGCAAATATGAAATATTTGTATGATAATAAAAATGAAGTGCAAAACATGTTTGGGAAAAGTTAGGTCTTGGAAAAACTGCAGTTGGACGAAAAACCAGTTGGCTTGTACATGCACAACGCAGAAGAAGTGTAGGATGAAGAAGGTTGGACAAAATATCTGTTAGATGCATAGTTAAATAAATTCCTATAATCACATAACAATAACTGTTGGGTGTAACAGTGGTGAAACAGTTTCTGAAATTTTCTGGAGCAGCCCTTTGTGTAACATTTTCAGATGTCTGTAAATAGGGCTGGCAGATGTAAGGTAAAGATCAGAGCTGTAGAAAACAGAATGGAAAGTTTGCATCGCTTTATTAAGTACAAGAAAAAACTTCTGAAACTACAGTGCTTTTTGAGATAGCTTTTCTAAATAGAAAAGGACAAGTATTCTGAATTGTCAGGATTGGATTTTCGTGTCATTTTCTTCCAGCTTAAAATTTTTTTCTTCATCTGTACTGCTTTTGATCTAGAAAATTACATGTCTGTGAATTAAGATGTTTGAAATTTCGTAATTTCAAGCTGATATGTCCCTATGATGTCTTTGGATGGATGTATTGGAAAGATTTGAGGATCGTTGGAGGGGCTGTTTGGTTGTTTGTGTTGGGAGGGGTCTGTGTGTGTGTTTGTTTCAAGGAAATCTAAGTTCCCAAAGCATGGCTCACTTTAAGCTTGATGCTTGTCTCCCTTAGCAAAACAGAAACTAGAGGATAGATTAGCAGCTGCAGCAAGAGAGAAGCTTGCCCAGGCCTCCAAAGAATCAAAAGAAAAGCAGCTACAAGCAGAGCGCAAGAGGAAAGCTGCACTGTTTTTGCAGACCCTGAAAAACCCTCTGGCAGAGACAGAAACTGAGAAGATTGAAGAGAATTCGTTCAGTAATGAGGTAAGATGAAATTTTTCTTTACCATGAAGCTAGCAGAAAACTTAGCTGTGGAGGGCGAATCTGACAGACGCTACCAAGTTGACTGAAGAGATGGGAGCTTTTCTAAATGGGGAGGAATTCGAATTTTAAACACCGTTAATCTTTTTCAGTTGCTTACCTGTGTCTCTCATCTCTTGGTAAAGAACTGGTAGGGAAATATGATGGATAATTGAGAGCTCAGTTAGCCAGTGACAGAAAGGAAAATGAGCTTCCAAGTTTTAACTCTGTACTAGGGGCCGTGCATTTGAACGCTTACCTTTCAAGAGTGTTTGGATATCTGTAGTGATATTTACCTACCTAATGTGTGTTTTGATGTGGGTAAACATCTTGAAGTTCAGATATGATTCACAGGCTTACTTCAAGACCTGTTTTGCACCTGCTCTGCTGGTTTTTTTTGTTTGACTTCTTTATTAGGTTATCTGGTATGAAACTGAGATGAATAGTTATTGAACCAACTAGTTGAGCATTTCATGTAAACCCCTTAAAAGCTTAGAATGCTAGTTCTGGGCCTAAGTTCAGTATGGGAGTTAGGTTTTGTTTTATTTTAAGGATACGATTTTAAAAATAAAGCTAAATTTATAGAGTGGCATAACATTCAAGCCACTCTATGTATATGGCGTATTGATTTGTTCATGCATTGTGGTGCTGTCCGGAAGCTTTCCTTTGCAGCTGCAGGTTTTGGCAGCAGAGCTGGGTTCTTTATTGAAGAAACTTTTCCATTTATGTTGCATATTTTCCATTTAAGTTCCTAATTGCTTAACTTCTATCCACAGAGGACAATAGGCTATTTTCTCCTTTCATTTCTTTTCTTTCTTTTAATTTTCCCCTTGTTTAAGCTTTTTCCCTGAGCCTTTCTCTCTCTCTGTCTGCCAGTGCAGTGCTTGTTCTAGCTCAGGAAGTGATAATTTTACTTCCAGGAGTGCCACTGATTTTTATTCAGCCTAAGCATCATTTTTTCATAGGCACATTCCGATCCAGTATGATCTGATGCCTGCTTGCTAAAATACAGGGGAGTCTGTGTTTCCAGCACCTGTACAGACACTTCCACCAAGTCCAGATGATCTCTTTTCTTAAGGGAGGAAAAAACGTCAGAATCCATTTGCAGCAAAATCACCTTAGATTTGGGTCTTCACTGCAAGATCTGTAAACAGTTGTGGAGGAGAAGTAGGAATGGGTTTTGGTGTAAACTGTGTCGTTTCCTGAAACTTAACCTAAATAGGGCTGGAAATTTATGCAGCTTGGGGTGTTGTTGCAGTATCCTGCTGCAGTCAGACCTTTCATGGACATTGCAATTACAAATACTGTTGGGAAGTAGAACCTCGGTTTCCAGGTTTGGGAATTACATTGCTTTGAGAAAAGCCAGTAAATCACTCTTGGTTGCACTAATCAAACAAAACTTCATCTCTGGATACTGATGGAAAATTTCAGATATTGATTGTGACCAACTGATTGGAAGAATGAATGACGTGGCTTTCCATTTCCCACAAAGAATTCTAGTATCTAACAAGTAATTCATTGGCCAGTTCTTGATTTCTTTCTTTTTCAAGTAAATTATAGATTACACCTCAAAATGCTTTCAGGAGAACAGACAATTGAAAGAAACATAACCTGCAGTTCAGATGGTCCATATCAGCAGAGAGTAGCAAATATGTGAATCGAGTGTGGTCACATCCCAGAAGAGATCCTCTGAAATGAATGATGTGGCTTTCCATTTCCCACAAGGAATTCTAGTATCTAACAAGTAATTCATTGTCCAGTTCTTGATTTCTTTTTTTTCAAGTAAATTATAGATTACACCTCAAAATGCTTTCAGGAGAACAGACAATTGAAAGAAACATAACCTGCAGTTCAGATGGTCCATATCAGCAGAGAGTAGCAAATATGTGAATCGAGTGTGGTCACATCCCAGAAGAGATCCTCTGAGATCCCCACTGCTGCCACTGACAAAGTTTCCCTGACTGGCACAAGCATTCATCACATTTTTCCAGTTACAGATTGAAGAGTGAACTCAAAAGAGACAATAATGACAATGCAAAACTCCCCAGACTTGCAGTTCTGCTTTCCTTCTCAAGGGGATTTGTCAAGGACGTAGATATTTCTAAGCTAAGGTTCTTTTGATATTTTCCTTTAAAAGAGTGCCTGAAATAACCAATAATTCTTCAGTTACTCCATGTCAGAAGAGCAGATGAGTGTCCTCACTCACATCTGAACTTGCTGGAGTTCTAAGCTGAACTTACTAAAAAGCAAGTGAACTTTTCAACAGAAACTGAGCCCTAGTCCCACTTCTCAGCAAACCGATTTGCTAAAAACTTATTTTTCCTTCTCCTACATACATACAGTTTCAAAGAAGGCATCCCTTCTTCATATAGAAAAAAAACCCAGTGTGTTTAAGAATTTTAAAGTGCTAGCTTTACTGCTTTTTACTAATAGAAATGATTTGGAGATGATTTTTTTAATAGAAGTTTATTTAGCATTTTGAATATATATTTAAATGTTACTGATGTGACCTTGCTTTTTGAAATAAAATTGACTCTTTTGTTTGGAACGCTAGTACTACATTAACAAACAGTCTAAAATGCCATAACATCTTTAGAAGTAATATTGCTCCTAAGCGTAGTTTGCTTACTGACATGCTCTTTTATGTTTCTATAGATATATATGCATATTGATTTTTACGTATAAACGTTTCTTCTGAAACACGAATGGTTTTCCAGCTGTTGTCTCTCCATTTGCCCTATTTGAGAAAGCTTCCATCTACTTTCTTTCCAAGGCATAATCTGCCTTTTACTCTGCTCGCCTCGTTTGCCTGCTCGTAACAGCCCATTTGATTCAAGGAACTTTATTGGAAAAAGATAAGTGAAATCATAGTGTGGATTTGTTAACCTCTGTTGACTGAGAATCCAGTAAGCTGCATCACGATGTCTAAATCAGTTTATAAATATGTAGCACGGGGTGTTTTTAAGCTTTTTCAGCCATGTTTCAGGAACAAAAAGATGTGTTTAAAACATGTGATTGCAGAAGTAACAAGAAGTAACCACAGTGGCTGGAATTTAAAAATGTAGAAAAAAATCAAGAGAGAAATACGTAAAATCAGTGTTGTATTTTGGGATTTCAGAAAACTGAGGAAAAGAATTAAATATTTAAGTCCACCCAGAATGTCACTTACCATATTTCATCCTCTATTTTGGAGGAAGGAGCATCCGTTGAGGAGTCCAGGAAACAAAGGTTGATACGCAGTGCTCATAGAGTTCATGTAGTGAAATGATTTTTGTAGCTTCAGGTGTGTCTCAGGAATGGATTAGTGACTGACACGTATCATAAAGCATGAAGAAGAGTTGAGAATGTCTGTGGGACATGCATAGCTCCCATGAGATTAGTCCTGCCTAATAACTGTATAAAAACTAGTCCTGCTGTCTGTGTGCCTACACAGCATACGTTTGTGTTGAAGACCTGCTTATCGCATCGTGTAGAAATGTGTTAAATGAGCAAAGCTTTTTTTTGACCTCTGTCAGATTTTCCTGATACTCAGTACCAGCACTTCTTTCAAGAAATCCCAGGTATATGTTATAGCTCCAAACAAAATTGATTCTACTAACTGCCTGTAAAGAGCAGTCGATAGCACAGAAGATAGCACTTTTGAGCTTTTTTGGCTTCAGCTGAATGTTAAAAACAGTCAGATCTACTTTTACCATAGCAGAATTATTTCTTTTATGTGCTTTCCTGCTTTTCCTTGAAGTGAAATCGAGCAAGAGGAACAAAAGACTGAAAAATGAGTTTGAGCAGTGAAGCAGCTCAGCTCTTCACAAATGGCTCCTCACGGCTCCCGCTTGCGTTGCAGCAATACGGTTACACGTAACGTTTCCTCCAAACAGCAGTTGGGAAACTGTAGCTTAGCTCAGCTCCCACAGCCGATCATCTTCCAGTTGTGTTGTAGCTGGTGAAGTCTTTGCCCTTTTCCAGGCCATGGGTAAACACCCCCTGGGTGGCATCTCCCCTGTGTTTACGGACATGATTCACATGGATTCTGAATACACGTCACCCTTGGGAGCCGGCCTTGGTACAGCACACTTGGTGTAATAGGCCTGTAACATTTTTGCCACCTTTTCCAGGGGTTAAAAGGGGTTTTTTGTCTACAGATGTGTAAGTTCAAAACTCTTAGTTGTCCTTGACCCTGTCCATCTGAGCAGCATTGATCTTGGGTGCATCTGGGAACAAAAGGTTGAAAAAGAGAAAGGAAAAAAACCTCTTGTGGAGTCACAGTTCTCCATCTGTGTGCAGCCAAACCTCACAGAAGAAAATTGGCATGATTCAGTGTCTTGCTAGGGAACATTTGCTTAATGTTTTTGTTAGCAATGGTTGATAACGGTAGCAGGTTGTAGGAGTCTTGCAGAGGGAAAATCTAAGCTGCCAAATCATTGCTTCCAGCAAACCGTTTTGGAAAATATAATTTGTGTAAGTCAAGTCCCCTGCCTGCTGTCCATGTCAAAGGAGGACCTGCAGACCTGCATTCTTGGTCAAAGAAATAGGTTATAAGTGGCCATTAAAGTAATTTGAGTGATAAAGCGTCTCCCAGAACCTACTGGTGCTGGTAATACCTGACAAAAATAGAAGGAGCCAGCACTGGTGACTGGCTGTGTATGGAACTTGTGCAAAGAAGTTGCTTGATGTAGTGACAGGTGTTCAGCAAGTGTAGTGCAGTCTGATTTTTGTCCACAAAGCACAATTTAGCTAAGAAGTGTCCAATGGGTTTCTAATATGGATTATTCTGCTAATCTCTCATATTTTATCCTATGTCAGAAATACTCTGGGCGTGCTAGGGCTCTGATACGCGTGGGAAACAGTTGGCTATACCCAAACTGTTACCTGGATAAACCTTAGTACCCTCTTTAAACAAGGAGAGAAATCCACAGTCCTCATACTGCAAAACCAGACAAGCACATGATTTGTAAGAAACTCTATTTTAATGGTTTGTCCCAGTTGTCATCTGCTGTTGTGCCTCTGAATATAGATTCTATAGCACAAAGCAAAACTTAACTTCTTTTGACTCTTTCATCTTTCTGGTTTTGAAGCCCTGTTCATTTGTTTCTTTAGATAGCTTATCCTTACTTCTGTCCTGTATGTAACAGTTTTATTTTTGTTTTTCTGTGGAAAGTAGTCTGTTTACAAGTGAAATAAAAGTGTGCCGTGTTTGAAAATAAGATGCTATTCAAGTTTTGCCAAGCGTAACAGGATTATCAATAGCTGTCGCTAGTGTACGTCTTTCCTACTTAGCGCTGCAGTTGATCCTACTCTTCTTTAGCAGTAGGCTGTATTTATTACTGCTTGCTTCTTTGGAATAATAATGTATAACATAATTTTTTGTTATCATATTTCCTTAATGCCAGTCTGTGAGCAAAATGTAGTCATCTAATGAAAACTCTCCAATAAGTATTTAAAAGAAAAATACTTTAGAATATTTCAGGGCCATTTGTTCCTTACTTTACTTTTTTCTTCAGAATTTATCAGTGTTGTGTTCAGCATGGAAGGGGAGGTGTGTCTTTGGAAATTTCCCTCATCTTGCTTTTTCAAAAGGAAAGATAAAAACGTAAAACAAAATGTCACACACTTATGCTGTCTGAGAGCAGTGTAACTTCTAAGAAAGGGTCTCAAAAGATTTACAACTCTCATCGCTTGTGATGCATAACAACATTCATGGGGTAACCAGTTTGTTGACGTGCTTACCAAAACTGTGTTCTACTAGCCTGCAGATTCTCAGAGCCTGGTCAGTACAACAGAGTGTTTCTGCTTTTTGGAAATGCTTAATAACCTCCAAGTATCTGTGCTTGATTTATTTATTTATTTTTGCGTTCATGCCTCCAATTTTGGTTCCTTTTAGTTTGCCTGGATCAGCTTTCGCTGGTGAAAACACAAGCCACTGACAGCTTTTTCTATTTGCCAAACACTAAAGGGTTTATTTTTTTCCAAATATTTTCATTCAGCAGCGTTATTTATGTAGCTAGAAAGTTTCTTTGTGGCCTGGCAACTTGCTGGCATTCTCTCACTGAGCTCCGTGTTCTGCTCTGATGGTGAATCAGGTCATTTTGCTGGTGATTTTTTTCCTGAAGGCCCTGAGTAGGAATCGGCGCATTGTTTGCAGCTGATCGTGCAGTTGTGACCTGACAAGTGTCACCTGAGCGGTGCCTCGTTTGAGTTTGGACTGGTGGGTGACTTCTTCCTGTGTGTCAGCTGTTGCTTTGCACTCCAGAACCGGCGTGTTCACCTGGGGGTAGCTGAAGTTACTTCTGCGTGGCTTTCCAAACCCGATTCGTTAGTAACCGGAGCAGTGGTGTCTGAGTCTCGAGCCCGGCAGCCTGCGGCTGTGCTGCCCTCCGAGGTACCCGGGCAGCGCTGGCTCCCCTTAGCTCAGGCAGCCTGAACGTTGAGGAGAACCTGCGGTTTCTGCATCTGCTGCTTTTGGTGGATACGTAGGGGTGCTTAGCATCGTGGGGTTCTTTGTTCTGGCTGCTGAGAGAATCTCTTTGTGGGAGCTAGAAGTAAATGTGTCATTCTTTTATTGACTTCCTTTTTGGCAGTGGTATGACAGCTTATGTTTTATGCAGCCAAATGAACTTGGGCACCAAAAACTGTTGTTTTTTCCTTCCTTGTCTTGTTTTCCTCTTAACTCTACTTTGCCTACAGCTATTTCTTTTCAAGCTATTAGAGGTGCCTACTAGAAGGCAAACTGGTGTGTTACATATTCAGTAGTGTTCAAAGTGAAGACTAAGACACTTTTTATAAAGAGATGAATAACATTGTCAAGGAACAAAAGTTGGCTGCTGTGGTCTCTTAGGACTCTGAAGTTCGTAGATGAGGTGTCTGCAATTATATATGGTTTGCCAAGTGAATTAAATTGCAAATGGGCTGCTGGTAAACCAGTCACTCAAAAGATCATGCTATAAAATGTTTAGAATCTTTGAATCAAACTACTTTAGTACTGCTTTATTGCTGTTTTTGTAAATATTGTGGTAGCAGGTATCAGTTAAAGCTCAGAATAGTGTCAGGGCTCTCTGACTTCAAGCAAAGCTGGAATTCTGATTATTCAAATGTGGTCAATTACTGCCATGACAAAGTCACAGTAGGAGAAAGGTAAAAAGAAGGAAAACATAATCTCTTTCTGATTTTGTTATTTCAGGTTTTAATGTATTAACTTTTATTCTGATCACGGTAAGCATCCTTGTACTGAACAGTGAAAGTGTCAGACCAGGTGGAGCAGAAATTACGACAGAGGGAAACTGATTTCTCCACTTGCCTTGATAATGGCAGCTGGGGGAATGACAGGCTTTGAAATGAGCAGCATATCTATAGTGCCTGGCTTGAATTGTTCTAAACAAGGTATTGAGCAAAATTCTCTCAGGTACAAGCTGATAATTTGAAAATTTATTGGAGTTTAGTGTGTTTGGCTTAACTGACTGCAGTCAGAATTACTGTGCATGAATTGTGCATGGGCCTATTCTATCTTTGAGATTAATAATTGTTGTGATCTTCCCGACCCTTTACCCTCAAAAACATTTATTTTGCAAATAATTTGTATTGGCACTCATTCATTTTGCTGTTTTCCTTTAGGCTGTAATCTAAACCGCACAGTTCAGGGGTGAAAGTGACACTAAAACTTTGAATGTCAGTAGTTCCTGATTGTTTTTTTCAGGTTTATACCTTTTTAAATAAAAAGGATAAACGGATGAAAAGGTGTCTGATAGTACCCATTTTTTAGAACACATTTCTCCTCAAAACTGAAGATGAAACCTCAGAACTATGTCCTAGTTAAACTGACAGTCTTAACGTGCATATCCCAGCTTGCATATGGGGGAGCTGTGTAGGCCTCCCTTAAATATACTGCTAGATGCACGTTTTGAAGGTGTTGCCCTTACTTACGCACACTTCATGTACTCCTGATGCAGCACTGTGAGGGTTTAAAGCATTCCTGTGAGGTGAGATCGTTATTGATTTAACAACTACGTTCTTAAGATGGATGTATTTCTCACATGCTTTCATGAGTCAAAAAATCTGAGGTGATTGTTAGTTATTACATTCCTCACTGTTGTACTCGTTATCCAGCATTTCTGGGGGGAAAAAAAAAGCTATGTTCTATATTGGCAAGACTACGGAGACAGATATCTTCAGTTTCTTTGTCAGAATGTACCTGTATGTGGCATGCACAGGAATAGATGTGGCCCCCTGTTTAGTATAAAGGACCAAAGATACTTATGTATTGTCCACACTTAGAGGACTTTCTCCAATTAAAAATTGACATGCATCTTTGACAACACTTTATTGTTTACTTGTGATTTCAGAGTGTCAATAGTATACCCTGTCCTGTGACTGCAGTCAGAACTTTAACCACCTTGGAAGTTAAACAAGCAGAAAGGCCTCCAAGCAAAAGCAAAGATCCTCCTAGGGATGAAGAAAAAGAGAAGAAAAGAAAAAAACACAAGAAAAGATCTCGAACGAGATCTCGATCACCGTTCAAGTATCATTCATCATCTAAGTCCAGATCTAGAACACATTCAAAAGCAAAGCACTCGCTTCCCACTGCCTATAGAACTGTCAGGCATTCAAGGTGGGTGTGGAAACCAAACATATTCTTTAGAGTTCTGTGTGGGCTAACACTTAAAACATCTCTGCACTTCTTGCATTATATAAGCATCTTCATACCTGCTGCAAAGGGTATGGACACCTGGAAGACGGTAAATAAATATACTCAAATAAGGAAGGTATTTGAAAGTAGTTTCAATGAAATAACGAATCATTAATTTCTAACTACAAAATTTGTACCAGTAAATGCCCAGGCAGTTCAAAGCCAAACCGATTCCAGTCAGTTGCAACTGTTGGGCAGGAAATTGTCTTGGATGGATAAGAAATCTTTATGCAGCTGACAAGTCTTGGCACAGTTCCACTGAAATGAAAGTGATAAGTAACAAAAAGCAAACTTTTGGATGTTTTTTCCTGTTCAGGTCACGATCAAGGTCACCTAGGAGAAGGGCTCACACACCAGAAAGGCGGAGAGATGAAAGGAGTGTTCCAACAGCTTATCGCATTAGTAATAGTCCTGGAAACAGCAGGAAACGCCCACGGTCCAAGTACGTATACTCGGTCTTGGGACAGGTTATGTCCTGGCGTCATACGAGACTTTAAGCCTTGCCTAAGGTGTTGGATACCACTTAGGTAGAACTTAGCTTTTTAATGTTCTGAAGCTTTACCTTGATAGACAAATACTTCTTTGGAGAAAAAATAAATGGAAGCGCTCGTTCTTCTTCCACTGTTCTTGCGTATGTTTGAACACTAAATGTACAACCGAGTCAGCCAACGTTGATATGCTCCCATCTCCTAGCTGTGTGAGTTCAGATTTTATCTGGACTTCTCTGTTTCCTTCTTACTGGCTCATTTTCTCGTGCTGTGCTTGTGCAAGCTATATGGCCTCTGCACAGAGGTCAGTGGTATTACGTTATTCCTGCAGGGATTGGTTAACATCTCCTATCTACCCCAGTAAAGGGAAACTCCAGTTTAGCAGACGATATTCTTTGCTTTTAGCGGAGAGGAAGTGAAAAGTGAATCAAGAGGTGCCTTTTTCTGAGAGCACCTTGCATATAGTCTCTGTGAACCTCTCAGAACCAGGATGGCATGCCAACCATTATTTCAGCTCACTGACTGCAGAAGAACATCTGGAAGCGTGTGCCCAGAAGGCTTTGAAATGTTTTGTGTCTCTAATGTTTGCAGCATGTCGTGTCTTCAATGTGTAACGAAGTGAAAATTTTTCATGCTTGTATATGTACACCTGAAGTGTACCCAACCCCAAACACGTTGAAGCTACTGAACAGAATTTTTCTGCTTCTCAGTGAAGATTTAGTCTTTAACCTATTTCTCCATATCTCTTGTGGAATAAGAAGCAAAGGGATCACTTTATTGTGGTTAAGAAATTTCTATTGTTTCTTAAGGTAACGTCCATCTCTTGACAACCTCTAATTAATTGACGTGTGATATGTATAATTGAGAACTTCATCAGTGTACTTCAACTGGTTCATTTTTTAGTCTTACACCACTCCAAGTGGTAAGTTACAATGACAGTTGAGAAACAAAGTAGATACTTCTTTAACCAATATTGTTAATGTAAATGGAAATTACAAACTTCCGTTAGGCCTCAAACAGGAAAATGGAGCACTATACAATAAAGTGCTACAGTCAGTGCAAAAAATGTGGACTGGAGAAAGAATATTGTAATTAAACATAGATGAGGATATTCTGCAGCTCTGGCAAGCTTTAGAATCCAGTACTGTCAGAGGGCTGAAAATTAAAATTAATAAATACTACAATGTTTTACATTTGCTTGTGGCATTAATCTGGTGTCAGTTGTTATGCTGAATAGCCAGCGTTGCGTGTAAATTTTTAGGTAGATTTCCAGAAGAAAATACGTAAGAACTAGGAAGCTATACTTTACTGAGTCTTGCTTGGGAGTTAGTGGCTGACTGCTTGTAGGATGAGGTGTCCTTCAGAGTAAATGTAACAAGTCTTTCTTCTTTTGCTCGTTCTGTAGCTCAGTTGCCATCATAGTCACTTTAAAAAGAAGTCTAATGTAAATAAGGGTTTTAATCTGACTGCAGTGAATTACTCTCCACAGAGAATATGCATAGTTCTGTTATGCTAGCTTTTGTACCTAGAAATGTCTTAAGTTTTAAATAAAAAGTTATAGCAAATGGATGGTTCTAAAAATAGAAAAATGGTAGACACATACATTCAGCTGTTACAATGTTTGTTCATCATGATCTGAGATGAAAACCACTGGAAAAGCTTATCATAAAATATTCTTCTTGCATGATGAACGTTTGCTGAGATTTATTGAGAGTTAGGTATGAAATATGTGCACAGCTTGGTTACATGATGATGTTTTAAGAAACTGAGCAATTAAAGTACATAATTAGTCAAGGAGTAACTGACTTTGTAGCTGATTTTTTTTGTATAGTCATGAAAATGTTAGAGGCCAGTAGAGCTGTGGGGTTTTTCTTCTGTAACTTAATGATTGTTTATGAAAAAAAAAGTGTAAGGATGTTTTGTAATTTTAAGTCTTGAATGCTCAATTCTATTGAAAAATCAGATACTTGTATGATTGATTCTAAGCATCAGTGGTGTTTAATATGGAATTTAATGAGTTACAGTGCAGTTGCTTTTAAAGTAGCAAATTCCTAAGAAAATTAAAGGAATCAATAATGTGATGTTTAATAGGTGGCTCAAAGTTTTCCGGTGTTTTAAAGTGTTCTAGAATCTTCAACATTTTTCTGAGCATACTTCTAGCAGTGTGTGCTAGAGAGAGATGCTTACAGTGGCATGCTGCCTAAGTCTAATTAAGGCATTACTGTAGTAATTTTAATTACAGTAATATCAATACCGGTATGTAAATTATACCAGCATAAATTCATAACCATGTATAAAGATTTTGGTAGTTCTGTCTCTAGCATATTACTAATTGAATTCTCTTTGAGCTTAATATTGCATATGAGGAGGCTAATTCTGTTTTCCCCTTCTGTCAAGAATGGACACATCAGGTAGTCCTAAGTCCTTTGTTCCCGCTCTCGTAGTGACAAACATTTGTGTCTCTCATTTCCAAGTTCATAATGGTTTGCACTTAAAACCTGTTGCTTGGTCCACGTCTGTCTGAGTGGCATACAAGAGCTTGTTTATAATTTTGAGCCGGCAGTTTGTTGTGTTGTGCATAGGATCACAAAGAAAGGAGTAATTTCTTTTAAAAAGCAAACCAACAAACTGTAGATTTTTCCTTGTACATGTTTTGCATAGCTATGATTCCGTAGTTTCTTCATTTATGAGCTCGAAAAGTTGTAAGGGATATAAACTCTTGCATTTTTCATTATGTTCTAAGTGTCTGATGTAGTTTGGGAAGGAACTTCCCGCCTGGTAAAGTTACTCTGCAAATCTCCACTGAAAGAGTTCTCATTGTTGTCCATCAAATGATCAGTTGCTAGCTAGTAACTCCTGTGTACCCATGAAGCAGCATTCCAAGGGAGAACCTCAGGTACTAGTGGCTGCCAGATGTTATAAAAAAGCTACTGAGAAAGTATTTTGCACAACCATAGAAGTGCAGTGTTGAGGTAAGGCTCTAAAGCTTGCTGAGTGCATGGAAGGATGCTGTGGAAGAGGGCTTTTAGAAATGTGAAAAGTATCTTTGACTGAGCTGGTGTAATATTGCTTTAAGTATCCTTCAATAACATATTTTCTTTTCGCAGAAGTCCCCACGAAAAGAAGAAGAAGAGGCGGTCTAGATCACGTACCAAGTCCAAAGCCAGGTCTCCTTCACCATCCATGTCACCAGGCAAACCATCTACACAAAAAAATTCTGTACATTCAACTAGTGTCTCTCCTGTGGAGAGCAGGGAATCCAGCCAGGAACGCTCCAGGTAATACGCTCTTTTCCCGTAATGCTGCAGTGCTGATGCACTGTGAGCGTGTCTTTTGGCCTAACTTGTGTGGTGAGGAGCTCTTCACGTGTGTCGTGTGTGCATGTTGCAAGTAGAAGACTCTGGCAGGACAGGACTGGGTGCGTCAGTCTAATGAGGACGTTGGGTCTCTCTTGCCTGCTGGAGGAAATATCTCATCGTACTCCTACAGTAAAACTGGTGCAGAAAATTGTGCAACCTAGTTCTAAGTTAGAAATCTGAAACTCTCACGAAATGAGATACCTCTTTGAAGTAGAATTTTGCTAGAGTGGTTTGAATTGTAGTGTGTGTGCAAGATTGATAATGATGTTATTTCTACAGAATACGGAACACTCGTGTTAGAAATTCCTAGGCTATTGTTCAGATTTCTCCGTACCACTTGTACAAGTGATTCTTCTGGCTGTGCCTGGTCATGGCTTCTGGTTGAATGAGAGAACCGTTGGCTAACATGAGACTTGTACAGTAACACCCAAAATCCTGATGAGAGGTGAAAGGCTTTTTTAAAGCATTTACTATAAATTTCTAATTTTACTTTTTTAGGGGAGTTTCTCAGGAAAAAGATGGCCAAATCTCTTCAGCAATTGTGTCTTCAGTGCAGAGTAAAATCACTCAGGTACAAATAAACAAATTCAGAGTATGTCGCCTAATTAAGAGTGCCTATCATACTGTTTTCTTCTCTTATTACCTTGCAAACTTCTGAGCTTTGCAAATGCTTCAGCTGATCGTTTTCCTTTTATTTTCTGCAGGATCTTATGGCCAAAGTGAGAGCAATGCTTGCAGCTTCCAAAAATATACAAACTAGTGCCTCCTGAGACCTGTTGAACTGACCATCGAGAAATTGTGTGAAAAACAACAATATAAAAAACTGCCTCATCTCAAATGTACAGCTGAGCTTAGCTCACTTGGTTCACAACTCGTCTAATATTACCAGAACTCGAGGAGCTAAAACCTATCTTTCTGTACAGAAGCGTCTCCTTGAAATTTCATTAAACTTTTTCAGCCAGAATATCTTTGGAAAGTTTTTGGGTTTTGTAAATTGATTTTTTGACTAATTCTTCAGTAACATTTTATGATCAGCAGTCTATATGTGTATATTTGTAAATATCATGTTTCTGTGAAAGAAGTATTACACAATAATAAAGAAGGAAACATCTTTCATTAGCTGGAGTTTTTGTGGAATCCTTAATTGTTTGCGGTTGACTTTTGTTACAAGTTAATTTTCTTTTATCTTCAGTACTTTCTGCTTCCTAATATAACTTGTCTTGCCTGCCTGCCCACCTTCAAGCCGAGAAGTACTTTTTTTCTTCCTTCATGCACAGAACAATCTAGGAAGAATGCGTGTTTGCTTGGATGTTAGTAGTGGACGGTTTTTGGACAAGGAATGTGATTTTCTGTCCATCGTTTGGAGAGATCTCTGAGCCTCTACGTGGGGAGTTGACCCTTTGGAGTCAATAACTGATGGTCAGTGGACCCTTTGTCTCAGTGTGCCTTACTCTCTCTGGTTCGCTGCAGAAGAAAGAGTTTATTTGTGTGCTCATTCAGCAAGCACGCTCTGCGGAAATCCTGCGTTCTTCTGGTCTTTTGTACAGTTGAGAAAGGTGCTTAGTAACTGATGGTTTATTGACATATACCAGTTAACACTTTTCAGAAAGCTTGTGGCCTCAGCATAATTGCGTGTTTGTTTATTAGGCATACTTCGTTATACACTTTATTTTTTTTAATTGATATGTTCTTAAAATGAGTGCAAGAAGGCATGTGTGCGTTTTTCCCCAGGGCTTCTTTAAGAGGTTTTGTAATAGCTCCTATATTCCAAAGGTGCCCTTACTGGCAGTTAGCTGATTCCATAAAGGGTGGAATTGGGGCTTTTAATGACCCCAAAAAACTCTGTGATCTGTAATCAGAAAGATTGTGGTTATAGTGACTCAGTCATTTTCTCAAAATTTACAGAGTAGGTGGAGGTTGGAGAGGGAATAGAGACGTTAATGTGACACAGTTTACACTTACTTACAGACTAGGTGGTTAAGTTCACTACTTGGAACTACACAGACCACTTGCTGGTGCTCACTTGGAATGCAAGAACAATATTTAAACCATTGGAAACAACAATTGATGGGCTTTCTTTCTGATTTTTGGCCAATAATAATTAGCAGAGTTTACACTCTAAAAACAATAAAATGCTGTGTCTGATGCAGAGCAATTTCATTGTGCGTATAAATTGTGATGGAAGAGAGCCACCTAAACGGTAATGTAGGATCATGCTACCCACTATTTACCTAGTTATTTTAAAGTTATTGGTAATGTTTTGACCAAGACAAAAATAATTTTCAACTGGTGTTCGAACATTTCCTCTGTACGTGTTGATGAAACAGTAAGTTTCATAGGCCGCTGTTGTAGATTGTGCAGGCTAAAATTTACAGCACCTATATTTTTACCTCTTAAATGAAGTTAAAAGTCTCACCGTGGTTAAATAATTGGCAGCTCGGATGCCAGTTGTTTGTCATGTCATAAAAAAAAAGCCCAACTCTGATAAAATAGGCTGGACAGCTTGTTTTGCTGCTGCTTTGCAGATTTATTCTCTTTGGAAAGGTTGTTGCTTTAATGACTTCTTAAAATATTTTCCTTCCCTGTGAGCAAGTCTTGTCTTTTTTTTTTTTTTTTTTCCTTACCCCCTTTTGTGGAATGATGTGAGACAGAGCCTTTAGCTCCAGGAAAATTTGGATTAAACTGCTTTTTTATACACTTTTTATTGTTTACTGAGGTTTGTTTGCATTTAGCACTCTCTCATGGGTAGTTCTTCAGAACTTTAAAAGTAGTAGTGCTTTTATTGTGTTATTTTTTTCTCTTTCCAACCAGGATGGACATTTTCACCATATTAAAGGGGCTGGAACTGCTTTGCCAGAATAATTCCTTTGTATGTGTTCACGTTTAGAAATCAATGTTACTTTTTTAGTCTATCTTCACAGGCACTGGCTGTGTTGTTAGTGCTTGCAAATACAGCATGGATGGAGCTCGTGATGCAGTCAGGACTATTTCTGGTGTCTCCTTGTGATGTGGCCACGCACCAGGGGGCCTTGGGAGGTCCTGTATCGCCTTGCTGTATTGCCAGAATCCTCTTTTGGATGGGAAATACCTGAGGTGGCTGCAACAAGGAGTTAAGAAATAGGGAGAGCTTCAGCTGGAAAAAAACCAAAACAACAGGCTTTGAGTAATCGTGAGGAAGGGACCGAGTTGTCAGCAACTCAATTTCAATTTTTTCAGATTTCACAGGTTTGTGGAAACTATAATGTGAGACTGCTTTGCCTTAAATTCAGTCAAATACAGTAATTTAAGCAACCCATTACTGTAGGTACTTCGAACTGCTTCCTCTGTGTCCTTCAAACCAGGAGGACTTTGACTATTAACCCTAACTTTCCAAAGCACTTTGGAAGGGCCTTTTTCTCTGTAATGTGCTAGCCAGTCTTTCCTCACTGTTTTGGGAGTTCCAAATCGTCGTTTTGAAGATGAGTATTTTTAAAAGTTGTTCGTTTTATACAAGAAAACTATTCTCCCTGTATTCATGCAGAGTAACCTTCTCTCAGAACAAAAATTTTCCACTGACGGGCAGTAAGAGCTGCTCAAGAGGAATCAGATTTTTCTCTCTGGAGGTTTGAGTTCACCTGCGATACTGAGAAAGTACTTAAAACTAAGTTTTGAACCACTGAATCATTTTCAGGCTTGAATATTTGTAGGTGTTACAGCCATGCTTTCTCTTTGTGAAATAAAGCTGATAGGACAAAGGCATCGCTACAGCAAAGGTAGTGTGTAGCCCTGTGTTCTTTGTCCAGTGGAAGTGAAATGGGTGTTAAGTGCTTGTAGGCATCTCTCCTCCAGTCCCTGGTACCAGTTACCTTCAGAGCATGTTTTGCAGTGCAGAATTCATCCACCGATCTGTATAATTGTAGTTGAAGAGGTGGATTTGTAGTCTTAAAGATGCTCTAGTTTGAATTGTGTTCAACAGCTTCCTACTTAGCTCTTCAGTCAGCTGGTGGGTAGCCAGTTAATAAAAAAGAAGTTAAAATCAATTGGCCATCTCAGTTTATACTTTTTTTTTTCCTACAGGTGAAGAGTCCTTGCTTCCACTTGTAGGGCGACTTCTATCGAACTGAGCTAATGGTTTGGCATTGAGCGATTTGGCTCTGTCAAGAAGTCGACAGCCACTGAGGTGTATCTGTGGTCTCTTGGCATTGATCATGATTTCACGTCTATTGCTGCTTTAACTTTGTATCTTAACATTTTCTGTGACGCCAGTTATTGAGGAACACATTTAGTCGTTGACTTCATGCATTAGACACAATCAAAATCATACTCTCCTTTTTTTAATGAGGCAACAATGATAGCATTTAGAATTCATGTTTCCTTGTATTTAAGGCAACTTCTGTTCTGTGAAGAAGTTTTATTGGGAAATCTTGTTTAATTAAATTTCTACTTAGTTAAATAGCATTTATCATCTATTCCTGTTCTTCCATCCCTACCCAACAACTAAGTACGTGAAGCAAAGAAGACCTGTGGATTGAGGTTAGTAAAATGCTAAAGCATCTTCTTTACTAATTTTTCTCTTGCCTCATGATCTGAAATCATTAAATACAGCGCTGCACTGATCTAACATCCGTATTTTCATTTTGTAAATTAACTTGGCTATGAGTTTATGAAAATTTGTTTGAAATTCTCCTAAATGCAGCTCTTAAAAGCTGACTTTTTTTTTCTGTTGCTGTTTAAATATGAAGATATTCTGAATCTGTTTTAGACAGATAATTCAGCACCAAAAGTGTAGTTTGATAAAATGTTATATATAAAAGGAAAGGTTTTGTTGGAGCAGTATGTTGGAAACTACGGCCTGCCTACACACTAATTAGGTCTCAGTCTTCCTGATGGCCAGCTGGTGTGGTTATTGCTTTTGCTGTTCTGTTTGAACCATCGAAGGATTCTTGATAATTCTTGATGCAAAGCATGTCTTTGACTTGGCCCTTAATTATCTCTGCTCTGGATTACACAGGAGGTAAATACAGGTACGGAAATACCCTGCGGGATTTTGTATAATCTTAAAGCAAGTTGCAACTCTTTTTAACAAATCCACTTTTACCTTCCAGTGAACTTGAAACGTCCATGGTATTAATTTAATATCTTTAATTTGAATGAAGATGATAATCTCTTGGCAACAATTAATCCTGAACACGTAGCATGACAAACATGATAAAAAGCTCTGCTAGACCAGTGCAAAAGCGATGGCAATAATCTGCCAGTTCTGCATCGCCGCCATACCCTCCTTGGGAGATGTGCCTTGACTTGTTTTTTCTGATAAAGACAAAATGGGTGCACATCCAGGTGCATGCTGACAAACTCATTTTTCTCCTTAGACTGAGTATTAAACTGTTGGTCTCTAAATAGAAAGCGCAATGACTTATTGATGATATTTGACAGTGTTACAAATACAGCTGCCTGGTATAGGGTAAGAGAAATCCCAGTATGGAAGACTGGAGAAGGGCACACGCGGACTTCTCCAGGTGACATAGAGTGGCAGATATGATACGTTACTTCAGTGAAGCTGGAGTAATTTGGGGATCCAAGCTTTACCTTGTATTATTTCTTGTAAAAGAAATTCTAAGGATGTATTCTATCTGGGAGTAGTCTTATATGTGCTCACATTTCTTCTATTAAGAAGTAGGAAGATACAGGGTTTCTCATTGAAATGCAATCCAAAGATGTTTATCTGCAACTTTATTTATTAAGATTTGGTAGCCTTGGTGATTGCAGAACTGCCTGTGAAATTATTGCTCCACCTTGTTATAACAGCTTTTTTTTCTTCAGAAATGCTAAAGCTCAAAAAAACCCCTAATCTTAACTCTGATCAAGAAACAGGTCAGAGGGTTTGGCATCACAAGGAAGTAAACAGAAGTAATCTGCAATTTCTGCTCCTCCTTTCTGAAGTTCTGATAATCCAATCTGTTTTCTAAGGAAAAACAGAAGGAAAAAATTCATTTTGTAAGGACTGATGAAAATACGAGTATTGCTCAAATTTGAGTCTAGTTCGTGTGAGAAGATATTTCAGCCTTAAAACTATTGAGACAAACAAAAGCGCATTGTCCCCAGGTTTTTGAGTGGCCCTAGGTTATGCGCAGCAAAGACTA